GACATAAATGAACATTTGCACGATATTCTAATTTTTCGAGTTTCACCTGTAGATGTTTGGTAGTGGTTTCAAGTGGATCCCAGGTAACAGGGAGATGTGTTTGTTTTCAAGGCTCCAGTTTATTCAGATTTTGGCTTCATTCCACGGATCTTGATTCAGTTCTGACCGATCCTTCGACTCAAAGCCCCGTTCTACTTCTACTCTGAAGGGTCACCATACCAGCCGCTGCCCGCCTTCCATCCTGAGGGCAGCGAATCGTTTTGCTCCATCTCCAGCAAATCTCCAGTCTTTCGAAGCTCAGCCTTCCGTTCTGAGTTACGGACAACGCCGCCGGTTGCCTTCCTTGACCCCAACCGGCTTCGTTTCAGAACTGGCTCCATGCATCCGAGCAGCTAGTGTTCCGCGGGCTTTGCTACGAGTATCTCGGCCGCGCGGCATTGTCAGCCTCTTACCTCTACCCTTTCCTATCTCTACGGACTTCCCCATCGCCCCCGTTTCCGCCTTCTGCCTAACGTCATTTCCGCGGAAAGCAGCGGCGGCGGCGGCCGGTGCGGAGGATGGCGGCCCTTTCGGCGGGGCCAAGGTCCGGGAAGGAGCAGGCAGGCAGGCTGGGCTGCGCAGGAGCGCCCGCGGTTGGGTGGGCGCTGGAGTAGCAAGGCGGCGGCGGCGGCGATGTCGCTTTGTCCACCCCTCCGCTTCTGTGGCGCTAAGCGGGGCTGGCCTTGCGCCGACGGCGCCTTCCAGGTTCTCCCTCCGGCTTGGGTCCGCCATTGGTGCCCAAGTGCGGCCTCCGTTCAATCCTTGCCTCGATGCATGGAGGCGCAGAGTGTGGCCTTCCCTGGTTTGGCTGTTGGACGGCCGAAGCCGGTTTGGGGAGGGGCGTCGCTCGCTCGCTCGCCTCTCCTGCGCCACCGGAGGAAAGCATGATTTGGGGCTCGGCTTGAGGGCGGTTTCGTTCTGTTCTGCAGAGCATTCCTTGGATTTAGTGCCTGTGCAAGAAGGAAAGGAGTGTAACGGAGTAGCTCCGGGACGGGACTGCATGCTGCAGAAACTGATGTGACGGCCGGTTGATCTGTGATGCCGAAAGATCAAAAGACTTGCTTGGCTTTTTGAAAGCAGGGTAGTCGGTCTCCTTCACTCTGTCTTTTGGTGTAACAGCTGTCTTGATTGTTTTTGCTTTTTATTCCAGAAAACATTTCTTGGATTTGCCTTGGGAAGACATCTTGTTCCCTCATGTTCTTTCGTATCTTCCTCTGAGACAGCTCTTGAGTCTGCAGAGAGTCAGCAAGGCATTCCGAAATCTAATCCAGCTTTATGTTACCAACATGCGCCATTTTGATTCTAGTCAGGTATTAGAAATAATATGTCCTCTCATTCAGATCTCTAGAGTGCATAAGGTTAGTTGTTAAATTGTAATAAACTCAAATTTCAATTCAGGTGGTTTTCAGATTAATATCAGAAATGATGAAACATTAAATGAGAGATAATTTACTTGCTGAATTAACATCCCTGGTTGTTAAGCCTTTTAAAATTTAGCAGTGATTTTATTAGGAAATCCAAAATACAAACACTGATGCAAAGTAAGCAATTTAGTTGAGAAGAATAAATCAGATAGTCTTCGGTTTCTGTTGAAGTTTTCAATTAAAACATAGGTTGAAAGTCAGCTTTATAATAACCTGAAAAGAGGTTATACCTCACCTCTATTCCCTCAAGTTATTTTAACTTTTTTATTCTGAAAAAAAGAATAGTGGGTTTTTTTCCTTGTAAGTTGGGCATATCTTAAAACTAAGCATTGGGATAAAGCCAGTTGCCTGGTTTATGTTCTGGGGCACTTTGGAGCCCAAAAATATTCTTGGAGTTACTAGAATTTATGTTGAATTCTGTCTTTAGATAATTTGCTCTCTTACAGCTTCATGCAACTACCAGCAAAATCAATAAAGAATTGTAGATTCTTTTAAGAGACAACTTGGTTGAAATAAAGTTTAAAAATAATTGGAGAAGAAAAGATTTTGCATTGCTTGGAGCATATCTTTAGTGACAAAGGTTGTCCAAGTATGACATAATTGTAGAAGAATGACAACAGAAAATACAGTGGCAAAAAAAAAAATCCCATTGTAATTGGTAGAGCTGAACTTTACATTTTTATGAAAGTTAATGGAAATTTCTCTTCCATGTCCCTTCACTTAACATTTTGTTAAGTGGCCATATATGGTCTCTCTAATATAGTTTCTTAGTCATTTTTAATGTCATACTGTCAAATATAGTGGTTGCAGATGTCTGCTTTTTTCTTCCATATCAGTTCTATCCCAAGTCTTGTATGACTCAGTTTATCACTGGTAAAGGATGGTAATATTTGTTTCATCTTTTTGTTTTGCTCTACTTCTTTGAAATTTACACTCCAACTTTCAATACCAATTTGTATTTATTAATTTTATTAGAACAGCAAAAAGAACTAGAATAGCATTCTCTTTATAGGGCGAAATTTGTAATAATCTTTTTGAGATAGCTCTGTAATGCTAAGATGATTTGGATTGATTCCATTTTTTTCCTATATTGTTATACAGGGAGTGCAAAAATACAGAATAGGATATAATGATTTGTTTTCTTGCCTACAAATAGGTTGGATCTCATATTCCAAAAGCTGCATTCTGTTTCCTATTAAGAGATAATAAAGTGCTGCAGCAACTAGCCTTGCAAAACTGCTCTGACTGGTTATCTGACAAGGAGCTGCTTCCTGTGATTAGTCAAAACCATCAGTTGCAACAGATCAAATTGAATGGCTGCATAGAGCTGAGCCGCCATGCTTTGGTGGCTATCTCTTTGGGCTGCCCCAATTTACGCCAACTTTCTTTGGCCCATTGTGAATGGGTGGACGGACTTTCCTTGCGGAGCCTCGCTGATCACTGTAAAGAGCTTGAATCCCTAGATCTTACTGCCTGCCGGCAACTGAAAGATGAAGCCATTTGCTATCTTGCTCAAAGATGCAACAGATTAAAATCACTTTCACTGGCTGTTAATGCAAATGTTGGTGATATGGCCATAGAAGAGATTGCCAAAGCTTGTTCTGATCTGGAGCACTTGGACCTCACGGGCTGCCTCCGAGTTAAGAACAACTCCATTAGGTAATCTGCGTATGTAGAGCAAAAATATTGTTCTTTTGCTTGCAGTACATTTATATTTCATCTTTTCTTCAAGGGCCTCAGGATGGCAGACATGACTTGTCCTCTCAACAGTCTTATGAGGTAGGTTAGGCTGATAGATTGTGATGGGTGTCCTGGCTGAATGAAGATGGAGCCTTGATCTATTCAGTTTTAGGTTGATATGGGGTAGGTGGCTACTACAACCACGTAGCCTCTAAATATTTTGCAGTGACAGAACTCCTTCTGACTCTGTGATCAGAATTTGGTATTAGAACACCAAGAATTGGCATGTGGTGTTCAGTTATTTTAAGAGTAATGTTAATGGTTTAAACTTTGGAACAGACTTATCCCTATTTTAAATGCTTAACCAAGAGAAAACAAACAAAAACCCTGGGAAATTTCTTCTTTTGACCAGAAAATGAGTACAGGTAGTCCCCAGGTTAAGAACTCCAGGTTTAAGGACAACCCATAGTTTAGAACAGAGTCTATTGTACAAAATTTGAGTTAAATACACAATGGTTCAAGTTAATTACACAATACTACTTATACAGTATTATACAATAATATTATTCCAGCTTACATATAAATTTGACTTAAAGACAGACCTTGGGAATGGAACTCATTCTTAAACTGGGGACTACCTGTACTCATTTTCTGGTCAAAAGAAGAAATTTCCCAGGGTTTTTGTTTGTTT